CCCCTACCTGCAATGGAATAAAGTCAGAAGTCACATGACACCAGGCGATAGTCGGAAAGCTTGTGATTTTAAATAAACCTGTTGTACTACAACCTGTTGTCATGTGACTTCTGACTTTATTCCATTGCAGGTAGGGGAATTTTTGACCGCCCTGCTATTTTCATGGTGTTGAGACTGTTTTGCAAGGAGACATGGTTCACAGCATCTCACAGTAACCATCCACCATGCGGGAGCACAAGTCCCAAGTGAGGAACGGCACAAATCAGTCTCTTGCTCTTGAAATTCTTGCCACGCTTTGAGAAAAATATAGTATTTCAGTTTCAATGATTGGTTGCCCTTTTGTAAGCTAGGTGTGTTTTAACTGCTTTGATTGATTAATCAATTAATCCTGTAAAGGAATAAAGCTGGTGAATACAATGATTAATTTACAAGTGTTGACATGCAACAGAGTCATCTTTCAAGTTGCAAAAGTTCTTATGCATTCAGAACAGAAGAAATAAATGCTTGGAAACTAGAGTGTAATGCTCTGAATTGTGTGAAAGACCGAGAACCCTTTAAAAGTGAGAAAAAGTCTTTTAGCAAACATAGTAGGAACTGCATATGCTGGAGAATCTGAGATAACAAGGTGTAGAGCTGGATGAACACAGCAGGCCAAGCAGCCTCAGAGGAGCAGGAAAGCTGACGTTTCGGGCCTAGTCCCTTCTTTAGAAATGGGGGAGGGGAAGGGCGTTCTGAAATAAATAGGGAGAGAGGGGGAGGCGGATAGAAGATGGCTAGAGGAGAAGATAGGTGGAGAGGAGACAGACAGGTCAAAGAGGCGGGGATGGAGCCAGTAAGGGTGAGTGTAAGTGGGGAGGTAGGGAGGACGGACAGGTCAAGGGGGCGGGATGAGGCTAGTAGGCAGGAGATCGGTGTGGGGCTTGAGGTGGGAGGAGGGGATAGGTGGGAGGAAGGACAGGTTAGGGAGGTGGGGACGAGCTGGGCTGGTTTTGGGATGCGGTAGGGGGAGGGGAGATTTTGAAGCTTGTGAAGTCCACATTGATACCATTGGGCTGCAGGGTTCCCAAGCAGAATATGAGTTGCTGTTCCTGCAACCTTCGGGTGGCATCGTTGTGGCACTGCAGGAGGCCCAGGATGGACATGTCATGGGAGGGAGAGTTGAAATGGTTCGCAACTGGGAGGTGCAGTTGTTTGGTGCGAACCGAGCGTAGGTGTTCCACAAAGCGGTCCCCAAGCCTCCGCTTGGTTTCCCCGATGTAGAGGAGGTGACAACAGGAACAGCGGTACAGTATACCACATTAGCAGATGTGCAGGTGAATATCTGCTTAATGTGCAAAGTCTTCTTTGGGCCTGGGATGGGTATGAGGGGGGAGATGTAGGGGCAGGTGTAGCACTTCCTGCGGTTGTAGGGAAAAGTGCCGGGTGTGGTGGGGCTGGAGGGGAGTGTGGAGCGGACAAGGGAGTCCCGGAGAGAGTGGTCCCTCCGGACAGCAGATAAGGGTGGGGAGGGAAAAATGTCTTCGGTGGTGGGGTCGGATTACAGATGGTGGAAGTGTCGGAGGATGATGCATTGGATCCGGAGGTTGGTGGGGTGGTAAGTGAGGACGAGGGGAATTCTGTTTTGGTTGTTATTGCGGGGAGGGGGTGTGAGGGATGAGTTGCGTGAAATGCGGGAGACACGGTCGAGGGCGTTCTTGACCACTAAGTGGGGGAAGTTGCGGTCCTTGAAAAACGAGGACATCTGAGATGTTTGGGAGTGGAATGCCTCATCCTGGGAGCAGATGCGGCGGAGGCGAAGGATTTGGGAATAGAGGATGGCATTTTTGCAGGAAGGTGGGTGGGAGGAGGTGTATTCTAGGTAGCTGTGGGAGTCGGTGGGCTTGAAGTGGATATCGGTTTCCAGGTGGTTGCCAGAGATGGAAACAGAGAGGTATCAGAGATGGTCCAGGTGAACTTAAGGTTGGGGTGGAAGGTGGTGGTGAAGTGGATGAACTGTTCGAGCTCCTCGTGGGAGCATGAGGTGGCGCCGATGCAGGCATCAATGTAACGGAGGAAGAGGTGGGGTTTAGGGCCAGTGTAAGAGAGAAAAAAAAATGCTGGGAAACAATTGTTGACAGACTGTCTGTCTGATATTGCTCAGAAAAGCCTCCACCTCTGTTTTTGCAGTTTTGGCAGGTACCATTGTTTGTGAGCTGGACTGTTTTGTAATTAAAGCTGACTCCTTTGAGTGTGCAGCTGCATTTCAAAAGATCCAGCACCATTTTTCTTAGCACTGATTTTTGTCTAGACATTTTGCCAGTTTTAAGAGGTTATTAAAGGATTAGCTATTCTTGATGTGAAATAAATAATTGTTTTTACAACAGATTGACCACTTGAGATTTAATTTCTTAAACTGCATTTTATGAATTTGAGTTTTCAGTATGACTTATGTTTGAGAGTATGCTCTATTCAATTATTAAAGTCTTTTTTAATCTCCATACCAAAGACATTGATCCTGCAGTCTGCCCATATTGGATGAGTGGACGTAGAAGACATATGGAGGCATAGAGGCAGTATGGATAATAATGAGGATGCATTGGGACATGGGAGGGGCATGGAGATTCTGGAGAATATGAGGTGTTGGTAAGAGTTGAGGAATGAGTATTTAAGAACCTGACATTCTTCATTAAAACTAAGTTGATGTCCCAATAAACAGCTAGATTTTCTGGGGCCTGGTTCCTGATTCCAGCATACCCTTGACCCCTCAATATGAAAATCTGGCACACTGGGCGGTTTTATAGGAGATGGGTCTACCGGGTGGGTAAGTTTACTGAATCAACCTTCCCACCATCTTCAAAAAATGTCCAATCCAAGATCTTTGAAACAAGCATAGAAGCTCACAGAAACTCAATTTACTCTTATTCTCAATTGTACTTAAAGTTCTGCAGCCTTTGCAAAGATTCTGGTGCAGAATGTGCAATCTATTGAAAACTACCCTTACTGCAAGTATTTAGTGTGATATTGATGTTATCCTGGTACTTTTGTGACATCAAAGATGTCTAGCCTTTGACAAGAATAGCAAATTAGGTGAGATTTGAATAGCATGATGTTTTGGAAGCTAGGAACAGATCCTCCTAATCTGGCTTTTATACCTGCTCATTGTGCAGTTCAACCAATGTTGTGAAGATTAAACAACAGTACTGAAAGTCTGACCGTAATCCTCTTCACACTGAAGTCAGCCATACCAGGTTTTACACAAGGCCATTTCATATAGAGTCAGAGTCATACAGCATGGAAGCAAACCTTTTGATCCAACCAGTCCATGCCGAATATAATCCCAAACTAAACTAGTCCCACCTGCCTGCCCCGACCCATATTGTTCCTTTTTGCTACCATACCTGTTTCAAATGCTGACTTCATGTTCTGAAAACTCGTAGTCCTTTACCAGCCTGTTTGTAACTAAAATGCTCCTTTTTTGTTGCATTTGAACAAACTGCTGTTAGAAGAAATCACCCATGTTATATTCAGGTACTGATATTTGACCTCAAAATATCATTTGGACATTTTATGCACAGGACCAAGCATCGTCTGGAGTTAGGCAATAATGAACGAATCATATTCATCTGTATTCTTTACAGTATTATGAGACCCCACTCCATTCCCAGGCAGTTTTCTGTGATGCGGCATACAAAGACTAGTTTGGGATAATATTGCATCATTTATTCTTTAAAGTATCAAACACTCAATACAAGCAGTTTTAAATCCTTGCCGTGCCTCCCAAGTGAGGTGAGTCTTTCTTAGCCAACCACTGATTTACTTCAAGGACTTTGTAAAACACCCAAGCTGCACAGAAACAGTGAAGTAGGTCATACAGATTGCATTTGTCATAAATATTAAATGAAGGCCATCTAGTTTCAATTTGTTACTTTTGCTTTAAAATAAATATTATTCATACTGGAGCTTGGGCTGCAGGAAATCCTCAAAGGATGCTGATGTCATTGGGGATTTTGTTCAGCAATCGGTTTCAGATTCTGCACATTTCCTCCTTGATGTGGAGCTATGCCCATGCTCCATACTTAATGGTTTGCTGTAGAATGCAGCTACACCCTTTAGAAACTGAACCACTTGTCTTTGCCAATCGCCACAATTTACTTCATGGATTTTGCGTTACATGTTTTTTTTATTTGAACTATCTGCCTTCTAATTATTTTTTAAATATACTAAATATTTTTAGTCCTGTAAATTGGTAGAAAAATGTTATCTTGCCAAGGTAAATCAGGTTTTTAGGTGAGTGCCAGTCTCTAGCATTCAGGCCATCGAAACCATTGCCCAATTGGTGCCCTCTGTGTTTTTGTCAGTTCTCTGCATAAGTTCTTTGGTAAAAATAACTGCTTTGGTAAAAATTTGTATGTTCGGTGTAACAAATACTGAGATGGTAATGTTGGGGTTAACCACATGCATCCACATGTAACAAATTTAAAAATAAAATTGAACAAAGTCACTTGCTGTAATATTAACTCAAACTACAAATATTTTCTGGCACTGCTCCTCTATTATCTCCTTGTTGAATTCTGCCCAATACACATTTCCTAAGATTTTAATAGGACTTGTCATCTCTAAATTCTTTTGGTTAGATGGCAGTAATATTTTGATGAGTATATCCTCTTTACTGCCTGACTGCCTTTTCCTTCATCCTCTCCTGCTCCTCCTCCATGATATCTATAGGGAATGCTACAGCTGGTCCTGTCAGGAGGGGCTTGAGTGTCATATTAAAATTCAGTCTCTCCAGGCTGAATTCCAGAAAAAGAATTACTGAAAATTATTATTCCCAGCTGCAGTCATTGCAAGACCAATTTCCATCAGTCCTCAGGCTCAAAAGCTCCTCCCTTCCACCAATGTCAGCTGAGTCTGGTAATGTTAGTGTTGTAAATCTCTCATTCTGATTTGCCTGATGCACACAATGAGCATAAACAGTTCGAGAGCCAACATGTTGCCTGTCATTTACTATACTTTGGATGCAGGCCGTTGAACAGATGGATCAATGGAAGGGCCAAATCATGTGAGGAATTCGGGCACATCGGCTTCCATCACAACTTGCTGTCCTGAAAAAAACACATTCTCTAATTTTAGGCTGGAAAATCACCAAATATGGCAAAGAATGTTGAGGCCAGGAGCTGTGGTAAAATAAGTGCAATTGATGGCAATAATTTTTGATTACAATTGTCTGTTGTTCTAATCCACATTTTCAGCCATGATAAAAAATAATGTAGTTCTGACAATGTGGATAATGATCTATTATAGAGAACTTTACTTAGAAAGCAATCTTAACTTGCAGGTTTATGGGTAACTAGTGTGTTACGGTGTTTTATTCTGCAAAAGTGCCATGTTTAAATAAAAGTCTGCCGCCCATGTCCCAAATCCCATCAAGCCCTGTTCACCCAGACCCCAGCTCTGACCTGTTTTGTGCACCAGTTAAATAAAGCCTTGATTTTAAATTTCTCCATGTTTTCAAATCTCTCCATTATTCATCTCAACCTTCACCAACCGTGCGAGCCTTCCAGATATTGTACTCATCCAATTTTGGCCATTTGAGCACATCTAATTTACCTGATTCCGCTATTGATGGCAGTGCTTCTATTTCCCAAAACTGAGCTCTGGAATTCTCTTCCTAAACCTTTCTTCCTCTCTCCCACTCTTTCCTCCTTTTACATTCCCTTTAAAACTTATCTCTGCCATGATATCTCTTTGAGTTTTTTGACAACAAATTTTGTTTGATAACGATCCTTTGAAGTACTTTCAAACATTTTAAAGGAGCGATTAAAATACAAGTTGTTAGAGTTAAATTGGTCCAAGTTGTTATCATTGTGATGCATCAATCTATGTCCACTGATTATACTCTAAGCTGTACAGCTGCACAGCAATCTGAAAGTTCCCACACAGACAGCAAACAAATTGTCCCCCTTAAGTTATTATGGTGCATGGCCACACAAAGATTTAAAAGGCCTGTGGATTCGCAAAGACTGCATACTTGCAAAAAAACAAAAATACAGGATAATGTCCACCCAAGAAAGTTGAATGTGTCTGTCTGTGATCACTAACCTGTCTCTTATGCAGTTGTTAGAGTCTTAACAGTGGTATGTTTCATATATTGCTGCACAGTTGCCTTGAAGCAACTTAACTCGGTTGGGTACTTCTGGGATCAATTATTGGCATAAGAAAGGTATTTTCCTACAGAGAGTTATTCATGATCGATATAACTATACCAAAAAAACACAAGGTCCTAGTTAAGCTTGCACTTAGCTGGACTAGCTTTCATCTGCTGTAAGCAAATTTACATCAAGAACTCAACACCCAGGAACCCACATGGCCTACCACAGTTACGTTTTGGCCTGTTATTGATTATAATTCAGGTTATTACACTATTATTAGTCTGCATGTAAAATCTTTTAATTACACATTTTATTGCTGACAGATTGTGGACTGTCTTGACAGCAGTAAAGAAAATTCACACAAGGTACTTGCCCTGCATTTTCAAAGGTCTATTTATCACCTAACGATCTTTGGTTAATATTTGAATCACCAATATTAATAAGGACTGAATTATTCACCAGGCTGAAACTAAAGATGGATGATCAGTCAACAGTAGTCAGGTCAAAATCATAATTGACTTTTTGCTTACAGGATCAAATCAGATCCAGGAGATACATAAATATATGTTCTCTAGATGTTTACAAATGTCAAAACATGACATTGGTTAAGAACTAGTTTAAATATACTGGGATTTTTTTTAAAAGAACTACCAACACAGGTACACATGACTTTGGTCCGTTGAATGAATTAAACCTGGCACAAAGATCACTGATGGGAAGACAGTTTGCAGCAAGCCGATACATAAAGGGCAATCACTTGCTCTTTCTATGGATTAAATTTTCCACCTATGTCTTCTCTTTCTCCTTATTTCCTTTTCAACCCCCAAAATAAGTTACACCCACAAATATATATTTTTTAAAAAAAAAAAGGATATTCTAAATTAGGCTAAGGACATGTCATTTAGAACAGGGAGCAAAAGTATAGATTTGCAGGTAACGACATACCTTAATACCTATACAATGATAAATGTTTCTGTCAGTCTTTTTTAACTGCGTGTATCGCTACTATTTCAATTACTGATGTTATAAAATGTGTATTTTTGTTTGTTAAATAACATAGTTTGATGGTACTTATTATAAAATAGTACTTTTAATTGAAGCTGACGTCAGTACTCCTGCACATAGACAGCTAGGTTGCTGTTTGTTCAAAATTCAGGTTAAATAAACTATCCCAGTGCATCGTCATCATTGCTGATATTAGATTATGTAAAATTCTTGGGTAAGACTAAATGAGATTTGTTCTCCCAAAGGCTGGAAATTCCAGATCTGTAAATGATTACAAACATCTTTCCGTCTACAGCCTGAATCCCTCTGCAGACTTTGCAAGTTTTTCTTTGATCACTTTGTTTGGCTTCTCTTTCACATTAATTTGCAAGAGCACTATTAGGTATCTAACTAGAAACGAATCATCATCTTTAATGTTGCGTTGTCTTATAACAAATGTGGCACAGATCAGGTTTGACTAAGCTAAGTGAACTTTAATGAAATGACAGAATATTGTTGAAAGGAAATGCAATGGATATTGTCTATATTAATTTCAAGGAAGCACTTGACAAAGTATGATATAAAGGACAGGCTAATAAAATTTAATCGCATGGACTATACATGGGGTCAGTGTTAACTTGGGGAAAAAAATTATTGACTGAGGACAGAACAGCTGGTTCTGATAAACATTCATCAGTTCTGCTGAAGAGTCACCATTCTGTTTTCTCTCCACAGATGCTGCCTGACCTACTGAGTTTCTCCATCAGTTTCTGTTTAGATTTCCAGCAGGTGCAGTTCTTTGTTTTATCATAGTTGTAGTGAATGTTTTTTTTTAAGATTAGGAAATGGTAAACAGTGGTGTTCCCCAAAGTTAAGTGTTAGGAGGTCTGGCAAACAGGATAATACTAACCAATGGTGTCATAACTTTTCATCTGGAAGCAGTTCAGGAAGGAAAAAATGTAACCTCTTTAAAATATTTGAACCTGTAATTGTTTTCAAAAATATTTGAGTACAACTGTTGAGAGTTTCTATCATTTGGTAAAGGAATTAATTATTATTTTGAGATAATAAGAAATACCAGTCCATGTGACCTGGCAATTCTTGACTAAGAAGCACTGCCGCAACAGGAAGCAAGATGGAAGCCACGTGCTCAGATACAATAAAGAGCGGCAACGCAGGAGGTAGAAAGTGGTAATTAATACAGATGAAGCAAAAATGAGAAGCAAAAGAGGTATTGAAAAGGTTCCAAATCAAATGCACTGCACTGAACAGATTGCATAGAAGGAACTTTGTTTCTGCTGTGCTTGCAGAGAATCTGCTAACTCTTGGAAGGAAAGAAATTGGAATTTGGCTTTAAGATCCGTGTACCTGAAGTGGGCACCTATAACTAGTGGTGGCCACCAACTAAATCAAAGCGATAATCATTGGAGTATTAGCTGTTCCATTGTCATTTATAGATTTTGACAACTATGATTTGCCTATTAATTTACATTTAATACAAGTTAATTCTGATTTGTGTTGAAGTAAAAGTTGCAAGAAAATGAAATATTGTTGGTAAATTTTTCACTTGTGGTGGGGGTTGTTGTTTGGTAAATTTGGTTATTTTGATTTGTGATCACCACAAGAGTCTGAACCATTGCAACATGATATAGATACGCCAATCGAAATGACAGTCTAATGGCAGAAAGAATTTAATGCAAAGAACTATGAAATGATATACTTTGGCAGAAGGGAGAGGGAGAGACAATATATATTTAAATGCACAATACTAAAGAATGTGTAGGGAGAAAGGAACCTGGGGACTGAGGACGTATTGGACAACTACAATTACAACTCATTTGACAGATTTTCATGGCATCAGGGCATCCCATTCTGGAATTCTGACCCAAATCCTAATGCCCTCAATTTTCACCAGTGCAGAATAAGAGTGCAAGCTGCAATGGATCACGATTCCACACGCTAGTCTTCTGACCCTTTCCGTCAGTGGCACTCCCAAAGAAGGTGGCACCGCTTCAACACCTTCTTTAAAACTCACCCCCAAAACATTCTCTCTCTGTCTCTTTGCATTGTCAAAAGCCGTCTCCAAATCTCCTGATTTACCTGGATCCAGAATTGATTACAGAGTGAGTTTGCCTCCAATTGTGTCTTTTCCCTGATGTGACAATGCTTACATTATCTCCCATATCATGATAAGAAACATAGTGTGGATATCATGGTATTGAAGAATCCAACAGAGATTCATTACAAGCATTGCATTTTTGTGGCATACAGTGTTTGAGCTAACATTACCTATTAGTTTACAATAGAGGAGCATGCTTTTAGTTGAATGTTCTCATTCAATTAATCCAAAGATGGAGTATGAGTTTCATACTCCAAAACAGTGATGGTAGCATGAGCATTTCTCTTAAAGGCGTACTGGCCATGAGACACAACGCAAAACATTGGGAACCACCTGCAATCCCAGCAGTGCCCACTATGGACTGTTGAAGCTACTGACTAATCTGATTCACCATTGGCTCCAGAGTGCTGGACTTTTTTCCTGCAGCATTTTACAAAGGTGAGATGGTCTTCAAACTGCTTAGTCAGCTGGCCTCTGACTTTTCTTCTGTGGAGTGGGGAGGGCAGACCTATCTGCACGTCATATCAAATATCACCCAATATTCTGAAAACGTGCTGAATAGTGGGTTGTGATTATTAGTTTTTGTTTGCAGTCTATCTAAAGAGATTCATTAATTTGAGCTTAAAGATATTGAAATTTGTTATTTTAAATTACAGCACCATCACCATACGTATGCCAGCCAGTGGCAATCAACCCATTCAACTATTGCATCAGTTTAACATACACTGTTTTCATGAGTTCAACATTTGCTGGATATATTTTTAAATATTTAGATCTAAGAATAAATATTGTTTTAAGAACTAAATCTGCAATTTGAGCTGTCGATCTGACCTTGTTTTGAGCAAGAGCCTAA